TGCTGTTGTCAAAGAGTAAACATGGGCTGGGAATCACTAGGGTAGAACACAGCAAAATTTGAAGACCACATCACTATTTATTTTCAAATGAATGCTATTTCTCCACTGAGTTCTGTGGAAAAGCCTTGGCTTACATAATAGGTTATTCCATGAATATTCTTGGGAAAATCAATTAATTAGTTAGTCACAGCCTGAGGTACTCCTCAGTATACCTGGTGACTGCAGAATTTACCTCTAAATACTCACAAACTTTTGGAGAAGTTGAGCTGGAATCATATCACACTGTCTCAAGGCAACACTGAATTCCTTTATTCCAATAAGGTATAATTTCCTGATGTCACTGAAAGTGTGAGTGGTCAGAAGGCCTCTCAGGTTCATGAGGGGCCTCTTTCTCTCCTACTGGCAGATGAAATTATGAAGTTGTTCTCTAAGGATGTCATTTTCCATCATGAATATGGTTGCAAAACATTAGTGCAAAGCATTTAAACTCTATTCTGATTCAGAAAATTTACCATTTTGAGAGAGTTTCTGTTGTGACTTTTTACTTCCTACTTTCTTTCCCTCCCACCATCCTCCACATCTGCACACCGTAAGAGTTTTTTGATGATTTCTATGTTCCTTTTTGTATAATTATTTTGACAGTCTAGTCAGTAACATCAAATTTTCCTTCAGTGAGGAAAAAAAATAATTTTCATGGAAAATGATTAAGGTACTTCCTGGAAATTCCACGATGTTCATTAAGAACTGTGATGACAATGGCAGTCAGGAACAACAGGGGAAGGGAAGCTGAATTCATCTCTTGAAAACTATGAAGAATTGGCAGTTACAGAGAATTAAAATGATTGAGCTTTTTCATTATGCTCTACTGATATGTCTCATGCAGTGTGACTTAGTCTGCTTTGATAGAAATCAAGTTATTCAGGATCACATGTATTGTGCATTTATGAGTGAGTGAGAATGAGAGGGGGAGGGAGGGAAACGTTCTCTTTCTACTGTTTTTTCAGCCTTAGTAAACAGAATGGCCTGGATTGGAAGGGACCTTAACGATCATCATCTAGTTAATTAGTTTTGTGCAGTTGCACAGCCAGTTAGAATTCTGCTAATGTAATGACCAGGGTTGTGGTCAGCCAATGCACTGTTCTACCTGGACATGCTGTACACACTGGGGTCAGCAGCTCTTGGCCTCTCTCTAGGCAATTAATGTAATCTTATTAACTTATAACTCTGTCTGGTTGCCTTTCAAGGCCAGAAAGAATAACTCAGACAGGGTCTAACCTCATGTGTGATATGAGACACAAAATGTCCTGAAAAAGGGGCAAATCCTGGACTGCTAATCACCACAAAGAGACAAAAATAAGTGTTCTTCATAATGTCCTGAAAGAAAAACCACGATATGCCCTTTTAGTTTCTCAGAATTCTCCACAAATCCCCTCATTGTCTTCATGGTAACTCTCAATCCATTTATAATTTGTGATGATTTGATAAGCAAATGCGGTTTATTGTCTGGTCTGTTTGTGAAACTTTCATTCCTTGAAGTGCTGAAGCTGGTTTTTTGTGTTGGGTGATTGGTCACTAAAGTAATAAAATATTTTTTCTGCTTCCAGACGTGTGCTTGAAACTTATACAGTAGGAATAAAATTAATAACAGTACAGTAGAAATAATAAATTAATCTGTCCAATTAATAATATGTTTTTATCATATTATTAATAATTCACAACTACCAAGAAGATTTTGTTGATGATCAGTCTGGGTAGGCATTCATGATTATGAATACAGGCATATAAAGCCAGCATTCACTGGTGAAGTGTTTCAAAAGTGTAATTTTAACTTTTATTTTTCCCTAACGGAATAAGGTAAGGCAGATTTAATTTATTTAGGTGAGCAAAATTGCCACTAAATCCTTTTCAGATTTTGTAGCTATGCTTCTGTATATGAAAGATGATTTTATTCTTATGGGCTAGTGTCTTTCCATTATGGTAAAGAGACGAGATATTTAAATGTATTCAAGTATTTATGTTATGTATGTTGTTGCCATGATGCATCAATAATCCATTTTATCTTAGTTCTATCCCATGTTAAAAAAGAGTAATAACAAAACTAACAGAAAAACATGGGAGTTTTTTCTGTTCTTTGAGACTGGTCTGCCAGCTTTCTGTTAGCAACTATGATTTTTCAGAGGTTTCAATCATCTCTGAAGGCAGCTGAAAACATAATACCATTCTATTTTTTTTCTACATTATATGTATGCAACATGTAAAAAAGATCATAATATGTAACAGAAATTGGAATTCTAAAAAATCCCAAATCTTCTTGTGTTTTAGTTTGATTTTGGTAGCTTGATTACATGAGTAAAGAGTCTGTTAATAAAAATGACTGTTTTGTCTTCTAAATTTTTGAATTTTTATTTTTTTTAAATAACTAGATTTCCTCTTGTTTCTTCAAAAAACTGATGATAATTGTTTATTCTTATGTTTTCTCTATAATGTATATATCTTTCCTATCTTATAAGTCATTTCAGTTGATGTTCAGAGTTAGTTTTAGCTTTCCTTTCTTTAAATAAGGATATAATACAATGAGAGAGCTGTCTGCTGCTACCACAGCCCCTCTTTCCTTTCCTCGAAATGTAATCCAAGACATTTGGTTTATTGACTTGAATCTTGAGAAAGAGCGTGCTTTGAAAAAGTAAGAATTTTGTTCTAGAAGATTTTACTAAGAGGAAAAGCTAGAGATTTTTCCTACCTCTGGCTATTTAACATATGGTCTCCTCACATCCACCTTCAATCTTTTCCATTAACACACTGCAAATTACGCAGGAAAATATTAACAGAATTTAACTAGTAATTTGAACTGTTTTATAGGAAATATTTTTAAAAAGAACATTTATTGTGATTATAAATCATTGGATTTAGCTATTGATGTACTTTAAGAAGGAAAAAGACCCTCATATCAAATCACAGTTTGTAAAGTGAGTACCACACACCAGGTCAATGTGTATTTTCACTGATATTTTCAGGCCTTGTTATGTAACACATTTTAAGACTCTGGAAATCAGCATTTTGGATTTGCTAGGAGATAGAACAAAATTCTCACCCAAACAAAACCTATATTTTCCTGGGTATACGAAGGAATACTGGCTGACCAAAGTCCGTAGTATCTGTTTTACTATTAGGAAATTCTCAAGACATTTCAATACATTTCAGTTCCAAATCATGAGCTTCTAATACTTAAGTTAAAAAGTCACCTTTCTCCACTATTGAAACAGAGGAAAGACTTTAGACTGCTCTGGATCTTATTACTCATTTGGGTCAGCTGTGGGACTCATGCAAATGCTGTTGGGCAGAGTCATAGGTACAAATATGGGATAAATTTACCCACTGCTGTATTCCCTCTTGGGTAGCACATGAAAGTAACATGTCTGTGTAAAACCTTTGGTGTCTAGAAATATCAGGAAGGATAGGGGAGGTTATTTTTTTGTGTTTGTTGGGAAAGTAGTAATTTAAATCATCTGTACAAGTACGAGCAGAGAGGGATCTACTCTCTGGTCTATCAGCTAGCCCAGCACAGCTCATTTGCAAACAGCTACCTTTTTTCTTCCTTTTTCTCCAAAAAAAGGCAAAACTGGTTACTGGTGTGGTTCTTGGCATACACCTTTCCCCATGCAATGGCTGGGCACTGTCTGGAAATGTAGGAATTAGCTCAGGCCAAATCTGTGTCAGCAGCGGACAGACAGGCACAGCAGGTGAGCCTTCTCTGGTGCTCCATGTAGCCTTGCTGGCCAAAACAGAGCAAAATGGGGATATTAAAAATATCTGTATAGACTACAGAAAAGTCTGAAATCAGCTGTGAGGAAAAAAATAACAGAGTGGGAGGCATTTATCTAAGAAACAGATCTCAAGAACAGGTATACTCATGCACATGCATTCTTTAAAAATGTGGACAAGAATTCAAATATAATTTTGAGCCTAAACTGAGAACTTGTGAATCAGAGCAGGAAGATGATATATATGAACTGAGCTTAGATACATAAAAATCTTCACAGAAGCCCACAATTGCTTCTTCTTTGTTTACTTTTTTTTTTTTACTTTGTTTACTTCTTCTCTTGAATAAACATTTATTTCTTATCTTGCATAAGTAGACACATGGGTTTGCTTATTTTCTGGTTACTGTGTATGGTGCACTGTTCAATACACTCCCTAAAAACTGATGTACATTTTCAAATATGATTCATAACCTAAAATACTACTATTAGATCTATTCCATGAAGAGAACAAGAAGATTCTCTACACTGTTAGTGATCAAGAAAGAACATCTGTGAATATTTATCTGTTATCAGACCAGGTGTTCCTGTTTCCAACCAACAGGCTATGCTCACTGACTAATTAAAAATAGAAAAACAGTTGCTTTATTTCATTTATTATTGCAAGTGTCAATATAGCAAGTCAAGCATCAAAAATGTGGTGGGTGATATAGTCAACATTGGGAAAACCATTTTCTCTTTAGGAGTTTATTTAAGAACAAAAAGTGCACGCATCCCATAGTCTTCTTTGTCATTAATCATTATCTGTGGATAAGAAAAGTTTGTAAGCAATTAAAATTGAATTTGTAATGAAAAAAAACACGTTTTCTATGGAATTCAATAGGCAAAAGCTTCTGTAAAAAGATAATCACAAACCATAGATTACTGATAAAGGCTTCACTTTATCACCTCACAATTTTATCCATACCTGTTGTAAACAAGCTAAAATAAAAGTTTTGTGATTTTGGGACTACCCCACTGGAATTACTTATATAATTTAAGCTGCTATTATTGACACTCATAAAATTATTACCAGTGAGATGAAACATACTGAATTCAAGCAAAACTCTCATCTAGATTGCTCATTTCAGGTGTCAGGGTTTTTTAATTTTCACTGCTTCAAAATTTAATCTACGTTTCCTTCTTTATTAGAAACAAGTCTAGAGAGAAGAGAAATGATCAACTGACTATATTGCTTTTCAGCCTATGATAAAGGAAAGGTAGTTACTAAGATTTTCAGATATTCTGAGTGAATACAGAAAAGAAATTTTTGTTATATAACAACCTAGATAGCAAGTATCTAGACAGTAAATAATGTACCTCAAAATGGATAAGTGGAAAATAAAATGGGAAACAAGTAAACCTCTCTGTACTCTGTCACACAGGTTTTTTATCACCTTTGTAACCTGGTGTCCAATCTATTTTTGTAGGAAACTTTTCTGTGCCTAAAAGGTTAGTTCAATTCTAATGACAAACACCCTTGCTCAGAAGACAAAAAGCAATAAAATTGAAATCAGCATTTTTATTTTACTTTTCTGTTTAAATTATGATGATAATTGCAATAATCAAAGATCCTGCAGCCATGGCTACACGGCATCAGATGAGAACATCTTTAAAGTGTTCCTTTTAGCTCCCAAACATAGACTTTGATTCTCACTCTGGCAGATTTATACCCTAGTCTACAGCTGTTAGTGTTCAAGAACCGTAATGTTCAGGAAATTAATGCTGTAGACTGGGTAAGGTTTTATTTGAAGGGAAGCAGCACCATCTATTGCAACCTGGTAGCTTAGCTCAAGATGATAGAAAGACTAGAGATGGCCTGAGCCCACTTTTCAACTCATTCTTGCATGCACTTTCATAAATTTGTCCTTGACTAGCTTCAAATGAGGTTTTTATCTCAGTTTGTATATGATAAGGTGCAGGGACAGGACTGTGTTCCATGCATGGATGTGTTCAATAAAAAGTCACATCTAAGAGATACCTGTTTACAAACTCAGATAATATAGTAGCATAACCCTAGTCCTGATTAACTGTTGCTTTTAAATGACTTGGCTGGATTTTTTATTTCTGAATTAGGAGGACTTTCAAAAGTTAAGAGTTTATTTTACCTACGTGATATTCTCTCAAAATACTCTTTCAGAAGCAGCATTAATGTAGGTGTGCTGTACAGTATGTTTTTCTAATAATGACAGTGCTATTGTAATCCATCTATACTTCTGCTTCTTCTCTTTTTTCCAGATTGTCTACAAAGCCTGGCTCTGTTCCCAGTATTTTGAAGTCACACAGTTTCACTGCAGCAACAGAATTCCTTGCAAGCAATACTGTTTGGAGGTTCAAACGAGGTGTCCCTTTATATTACCAGACAACGATGATGTCATCTACGGAGGACTATCAAGTTTCATCTGTACAGGTACAGTATAAAAAAACCACTAATGTCACTTGTTTTCGGAAGTCTAAATTTGATGGACTTAGCTATAACTATGAGAGCCCAAAGGTATTCCTCATCAGAAAGATATGTTAGAGGTGCTAGGATTTGAGCCTAGGTTTAGAAATGCACATTTACACTACATCTTGCCCATCATCAGATTTATAAAATAAAATTGCTAGAAGGAATTTGTTCTGGTTATTTGTTACGCTTAATAATTTGGTGGAGGATTTCTGTTACTCCATGTCATGCAATACTCAGAGTAAAGAGGCTGCATGTCATGCAATATTCAGAAAACAAAGAGAAGGGCAGGTCCAGTTTCTAGCACATTCATCTTTGTACAGCTGCATTCTTATGTCAGATAAATGGAGAATCAGAAGCACAGTATCCAAAACTGCAGCAGCTCTGAGAACGTGCATGTCTAAGGAAATTCTTTCACTAGTGAAGAAATTTAAGGAAAGGTCTTTCACTAATGAAGAAACTTAAGAATCAGAAGAACTGATATTTTTTGTCTCCTCTGTGAGTATTTCAGTTTTAAAAGGTATTGCTAATATATATCTTAGATATCACAGAAACTTTTTTCAGGACCGGCTGGTAGTCGTCCAAACAAAATTTCAGCTTATATCAATGTTATCTTTGGATTTATAGTGCCTGGAGTATCATCTGAGAACCCTGAAGATATTCAGACAACTTATTCCCACTAAATCAGTAAAAAGGCACTTCAACATTTAGATCATTTGACATCCTGGTCCAAACATCGGAGGTTAGACAGCCTTCACCTCTAAAATAGGGCTGCACTGCAAATCTTAATACTAAATGAGTTGCCCAAGGTAAGCTACTTAAAAATAGAGCCAGTTATAAAACTCTATAGATGCTATATGCCATCTGAGATGCAGGCATAATGATTGTGGCAACTCACTTCTTCTTATACTCTGTGTTTGTATTTAGGGTGATTCTGGTAGCAAGGTATTTACTGTATTTCTTTTTGAAGCTTAAGTGTTTTGCACACAGTTGACTAATATCCATCCATATGCAAAAGACAGTATAATGAAATGTGAACTCAGTTACAATTTTGAGTCATCAATAAGGTAATGGTGCTTAGCACTTCAATGCATTTTGTAAATATTAATAGCCTTCTAACATACATAAGCAGTAAACAAATCAGTATTATTTTCCAGTTTAAGATAGTATAGTAAAAGCTGAAGTGAGAGACTTATTTATATATTATTTACCACAAATATACAATATATATGTGTGTGTGTGTTCATGTATATACACATGTGTACCCACTTACACACATACACAATGGAAAAAAAACACAAAGAACCAACAAAACCATCTTGGCACGTATTTCACAAAATCTCTTAGGAAATACATGTCCACTTTCCTACTATAACTCAAAATCCAAATTCCTTCCTAAAACACACAAAATACATGATTTTGAAAAGATTATTGGCATCTCTAAGTCTGGGATGAGAAAGCAGCTTTAGGAGAGGATTAAACTCATTTTATTGCAGGTATTAGTAACGTGGGTATCTACACATAAAAACTGTGGCTAAGCTCTCCCTAGAGTCAGTAGGACTGAGAGGTATTTAAATCAGCCTAAGTAGGCACTGGCACCTGATGAGAGGACTCCTTCACAGTGCTGGCTGCTCTCTATTTGCTGTATTTGCTGTGAATCACCACTGTCTTTTTGCAGACATTTTAAACCAGGAAGACCTGAAGCTCATCTTACCAGTCTACTAACTAATATTTGGCTGAGCTTTTTGTCCTCCCAAGTTCAGACCCAGCAGTAGCAGAGCAGACCTGTGGGAGTTAGTATGCTGACTCTAGGAAGTTGTGTTCAAGAGAAGATGCTGAGGACAGGTACAAGGCTGCAATTCAAACTTTGTCTGGAATACAGACCCATTTTCACCCTCTTACTAAGCAGTAGCTCACTGTAAGAGTACTTTCTGCCACTAAACAATGACAAATGAAACTATTATCTGCTGTGGGACTAAGGAATTACACTTCTCTGCAGCTTAGTGAAAATAGATTTATTTCATGCAAAGTACAGTGAGTTCAACAGAAGACAAAATAGTCTACCTCAGCATAGCTTGTGGTTTGACAGATAACTTGAAATCCTTTTGCTGAAAAGCAGCTGGAAGCAGGTCACCCATGTCTTGAGGGACCTATTCTCCTGCTGCACTTTCTGTGAGCTCCTGTCACGCAGACGTGTTCTGGGATTTTTAGTTACTGATCAGGCTCTTCATTAGCAAAACCCAAAAGAGTAAGGTCAAAAAGTATTTCTATCTAATATTTAGGTACCAAGTAACAACAAAAGGTATTCGAGGGATATCTGGTGTTATTTGATATTGACTACAGCACAGAGAGTGGGACATATATATGAACATTACATGCTATTTTCCAGTAGCAGTTAGATAGAGGCCGGTGTCACCAGCAATGCTGGGAGGTGGCCTGGCTGCACCAAGCTGCCACTCCCCCTTGACATACCCATCCTGCTGCAGCAATAAGCCAGAGCACAGAGACCCACTGGAGGTGAGCGTATGGCAGCACTGGTGGATAAGGAACCCATGTAATTTTTTTTTCCTTTCAGGGCAGAATTTTTGTGAAGTTGGAGTCTGAAAAAAAAAGAAACAAAAAACAAACAAACAAACAAACAAACAACCTGTAGTGGGGGCTGTAAAAAGAAATAATAATGATGCCAAAACATCATAGGGCTGTCTATTTTCCCCCAAGAAATTTTGCAGTCATTGTTATCTTTGTCACCCTTAAATTAAAAAGAAAAAAAAATTAGTTTATAATATAGATTAATACTGACTTCTTTGAAATTCTTGAAGAACTCATATAATGAGTAGCAAGTATTCTAGCTTGAGACTGTCTTAGTTGATCATCTCCAATGAAAGCAGATAGTGGGAAAGGAAGAAAGTGTGCCACGCTAGTTACATATCATCAGAACCTGCCTTTTGTAGAAATGCATGTGAGGGTGTGGAATAACTGCAGTGCAAAAGAAAGTACTTGGGAGACTAATCAAAACAATCAGAATCACAGTGTGGTTCTGATTATGGAAATATGCAATTCACTAGAAAGAATTTTGTGTTCCACTCTGGCACCTTTGCTTCCAGGAAAAGGAAGGAAAGAAGTTGATCCTTCCATCAAGCACTATTCTGGAACATGCTGGTTTTCATATTCATTAGAATTGAGTGGAAGCTTTCAGTTTAGACCTTTGGCGTTCAAATCCATATGATTAAAGTTAACAGTGGTTTAGATGAAAGATGTTTCTTTCTACATCTCAGCTGTCTAGAATTGCCCATGCAAACCAGAATCTTAATTAGGGGAAATAACAATAGTGTTTAGGCACACATACACACACACACAGAGAAACACACAAACACACACAGCAGATTACAATGAATGCAAAGTTCCAGGTCAGGGCTTTTGGTTGTAAGTTCTGAGAAAACAATGTGCATACCAGTGGGATTGTTTTTGATTGTAGATGTAGTCATCTCTTCCTTTTTTTTTTTCCCCCTAGCATGAATGGAAGATGTAGTAGATTTCTTTAACACATGGTCTTTCAGAGTTGAAAGACTTGGTGGCTTGACTCTGGCTGGACACCAGGTGCCCACTATAGAGGAAACTTCCCAGTCTGACCATTCATGAGACTCTCTGGCAGTCAAACTCCCAAGACCAGAGACTTAAACTGCTGCATCCGAAGCCCCTTCTCAGTGGGTGACTCCAGTGAGCTGTCGGGTGCTCCCCACACACCCCACTCACACGAAGTCAGATCAGGTTTCCTTACCGGTTTGACCCCAGGTTTCCCACAGCAGAGTCTCAGATGTCTAGTTCCATAAAGTGCAGTAACACAGAAACAGCCTGAGCTGTTGCCTCTGAGGAGGACCCCCACCAAAGGAAACCCTTGGCTTTTATACCATCACAGTCTAGCCATACGCAAGTCCATCTCTTCCTCATGAGTCTTCGACTGTGTCTCTCAGTGTCCACCCTGGCTGGCACCACCAGCCTGTGCCTTTTGTTGACTTAAGGGTTGGCAGTTCACAGCCTCTTGTCTCTCTGAGCTCCCGCCCAGATTTCAATCTGCATCCCAAACTGCAGCTTGCAAACCAAGCTACCTGCACCAGATGTATCCTTCAGTAGCCACCAAAGCCACTCTTTCTCTCCCCTCTACAAGTGGACAAGGGAGAGAAAAAAAGAAAGGCTTATGGGTCGAGATAAGGATGGGGAGAGATCACTCACCTGTTACCATCATGGGCAAAACAGACTTGACTTAGTGAAATTAGTCGAATTTATTACTAATCAAAATCAGAATAGAATAAAGAGAAGTAAAGCATATCTTAAAAATACCTTCCCCCACTCCTCCTTCCTTCCCAGTCTTAATTTTATGGCTGATTTTCTACTTCCTCCCCCACAAGATCGTAGGTCCTACCTGCTGTAGTTTGGGGACCTTTCTCCATGTGTCTGCATGTCCCTGCCAGGAGCCTATTCCAGCACAAGCTTTCCTGTGGTGTCACAGCTTCTTTCAGGCATCCACCTGCTCTGGCACGGGGCTTCTCCACAGGCTGCAGGAGGGTCTCTGCTCACCTGTGGACCTCCATGGGCTGCAGGGGCTCAGCTGCCTAACTGTGGTCTTCACCACAGGCTGCAGGGGAATCTCTGCTGTGGTGCCTGGAGCACTTCCTTCTCCTCCTTCTTCACTGACCCTGGTGTCTGCAGAGCCATTGCTGTCACATATTCTCTCTCGTCTTTCCTCTGGACACTATTGCTTCTGCACAATAACTTCTTTTTTTCTTCTTAACTATGTTATCCCCAAAGTGTCACTACCAAGTATCAGGCACGAAATCCAAAACACATGTTCACACTCCTTATCTGTACAATAGATGTCATGGAATTCAATGGAGAAGGAAAGTTCTCTGAAGAAAAGGAAGGCAATGTACTGAGCAGCAACAAGGCAAAGATATGTTACATTAACT